ACACATTCAGACATACAAACTACAGCCACTGTACCCATACATACTGGCTCCCTTACACACTCAAACTGAATTCCCTATACTCACATTACAGCCACTGCATGCACACACACAACAACTATTGTACACACAGACTGGATCTCTCAGACACACAGGTAGACCGGATTCCCTATACACACACACACACACATCGGATTCCCTATACACACACTGCATACACACCGGATTCCCTATACACACACACACACACACACACACTACAGCCAATGCACACACACCGGATTCCTTATACGTACACACACCTCAGCCACTGGTACCCCTTCATAACCTATACACAAACACTACATCCCTATTTTTACAAAGTACTCTCTGTCTGCCACTTTGCTACAATGTTTCTGTTTCTTTCCCCTGAATAAAACCACAAAAAAGTAATTCACCAGGTCATTCGTATGAACGAATGACCGACCACCCGGCATATGGAGTGTGCCGCCTATTAACCACCCAGAAGTTGCGGTTTGCCTTGTTGACCTTTTTCACCTTTCAATAACCGAACAAACTGCCGAACGACTGAGCACCCTGCAGGAGGAGTGTGCCCCTTATTAGCCGCCCAGAAGCTGCAGTTTGTGGTTAACCGCAGCTTAATTGATGAACAGCTGGGTGGTTGTCGTTTGTATGAACGAACATGTGGCAGCGGCCATCTTTCACTGCCGAACCTCCTGGGACCTCCAGACTTTCATCCGTTCGTGGATAATCATACGAACGCAGCGCCGTTCGGTACTTTTATACTCCCGAAGCTAGACCGACCCTATGCCTGAAAACTGTGCAACAAATTCTGGGTTGACTTCTGCCGAACGGCTGTCGAGACAAACTTTACCCCCATGGCGATCCCACTATATTTGTGAGAGCTGAGCGCTTTTTGGACATATTGTGCGCTCAGATCCAAGCTATCTGGGGATATGTTGGACATATAGGTTAAATATTGTATTATATTTGTTATGTTTTTTTTTTTTTTCATTTCAAGGCTTTATTAAGGCATAGAGTTGTAATTACAGTTACAGTAGAACATTATTACAGTAAAGGTATACAGGAGACTCGCAGGTCTCAGTATAATAGGACAGTGACACATAGGTTTTTAACCTATTTGGCCGTTTGCTTTTGCTGCTGCCAGCGGCCAGATAGTTCAGACATTTGGTTAACAATTTTAAGCATTCATGTTGGAATGTCACCGTCAGCAAATGAAGACCAGTTCGGGGGTTGAGTTGTAAAGGCAGATATTGTTGTTAATATATGACAGGCATCTAACGGCAATACAATAGCATTCCTGGCACATCACCTAGCCTTGTTAGACAGGTCAGTAAAGTGTACAGCTTTGTTGTGGTCTATGTAAGGACATAAGTCGCATTGTAGATTATACAGTAGGAATTTTGAGCTATGTGGTGCATTCTCTTAGTACAGCTAGCCTGCTGGATGGGGTAGGTATTAGATGGCAACCACTCGTCGTGTTTTCAGTGGCTCCTGGGTTGTTGGTGGTGTGTCGGGCAGGTTTTCTGATTTGGCAAGCCGAGTACGGCGTGCAGAGTTGGGTGGAGGGGGTGTGTGGGCAGCAGGGAAACACGGTTCTGGGATCTCTGTCAGGTAGGCCTGTTCAAGATCCGCTGGGGTTGGGGGGCGGGGAGCAGTTGTCGAGGAGTGGGGCGTTTGGAGGTCGAGGGTCCGTCAGGTAGTTTTGTCTTGTGTGTGTGTTTGCTACGAGTGTCCCCTCTGTGCTAGTCGCTGTTCTTTAATGTGTGTAGGCGGTGGTTGTGTGTGTGTCATGCATCAAGGTGTTGTCTTGTTGGGGTGCCACTTCTGTGTCTGGTGTCCGTCTGTGACTGTTTAAGGCTCCGGTTAGGGTCGGGGGTGTATTGGTCGAGCGGTAACTGTTCTGGGTTGTGAGGGTTGAGTGGTGTCTGGTATCGCGATAAAGTGTTCTTGGGTATTGGGCGCTTGGGCAGTCTTGTTGGGTTGGTTCATCCCTTATCCGGCGTGTGCTGGTTGTGGTGGGTCTTTTGCGAGTGCTGTGGTGTGTAGTCTATCTCGCAAGTGAGGGGGTGTCTCTGTGTGTGTAGGTTGTGTTCTCAGGTCAGCCTGTCGGGAGTGGGTCATGTGTTTTAATGTGTGTTATGGAGGGGAACGGGGGGATGGGGATGTAGGTTAATGGGGTGAGGATATTGCGGGTGGGGGGAGGGTGCGGGAGGGTGGGGGGGGTGTCAGGTCCCGGGTCCCCACCCCAGCCCCCCCCGCCTCCAGGGCGCGGGGCATCTCCAGCTCCACGTGGTCGTCTTGGTTTGGTTGGGTCGTTGGTCCAGCTTCCGTATTATCGCCAGTCGGTTCCGTCAGGACCGTCCCGTCTGCCTCCACTGCCATGTGTTGTGTGGCCCCCGTAATTCGTGCGGTGGAGGTGAGCCATTGGAGCCAGTGGTACTACGCGTCATGGTAACGTTGTATGCGTCCCGTTGCGGAGTGGATGAGCTCCTCGATGCGTCTGATGTCTTCCACCCTCGTCATCCATTCTCTGATAGTCGGGGCCGTGCGTTGTTTCCAGTTTCCCGGGATGAGGCTGCGGGCTGCATTCATTAGGTGTGGGAGTGCTGTTTTTTTAAACCTGTTGATGGGGATCTGTGTAAGTTGGAGCAGGTATGTTTCTGGTGAGAGGAGCAGGTTTGCTTCCGTTATGGTTGTGAGTATCTTGTGGATCTCTGCCCAAAAGGGCTGGATAAGGGGGCAGGACCACCATAGGTGGAAGAGGGATCCCAGTTCTCTTCCGCATCTCCAGCATTCCGGGTCATTCGTGGTTTTCATCATGCTAAGTTTTTCCGGTGTCCTGTACCAGTGGGAGAGCATTTTATATCCTGTTTCTTGGAATTTGGTGGAGATGGAGGCTTTGTGTGTGAGTGTAAACACCGTTGTCCGTTGTTCCGCTGAGATTGTGTGTCCTAGATCCCTTTCCCAATACTTTGTGAAATAAGGGAGGGGTGCGTTAGTGGTGGTGGTGGTTTGCATGCGGTATAGTATTGATATTGAGTGTGGGGGGGGGGTTCATGCAGATGGTCTCGAATACGGAGAGCGTTCGCGTTGCCGAGTCTAGGGTCGGTATGCTTTTCAGAAACCTCGTCAGTTGGTGATATCTGAAGTGTAGGAGCATATTGTGTGGAGTATTTGGGACCAGGGTAGTCAGGGGTGCGATTGTGCCTTGGTCATAGACGTCCCTCAGTCTGCAGGAGGTCGGTAGGCCCAGGGCAGCCGTGTAGTGGGGGTCTGATGCAGGGATAAATTTCGGGTTGTGAGATATGGGACATAGTGGTGAGAGCTCCGGGGCTACGTCTGTGTGGGTCGCCAGTGTCCTCCAGACTGCCATTGTAGCATTTAGGGTTGGGTGGTTCCATGGTAGTTCCCCGGCCATTGATTTCAGCAACCAGGGTAGCAGCGTCAGGGGTATCTGTGAGAAGCTGGCCTCTATGGAGATCCATAGCTTGTCTTTCGGGTCTTGTGTCCATTCGATCACTCGCTGAAGGTGTATAGCGTATCTGTATTTCGTGTCCCAAGCCTCCCTGTAGTTTGGGTCTGGTGAGGGTGGCGAAATTCAGCCTCGGTGTTTTACGGGCCCAGACGTAGTCCGTCAGTGTTTTACGGGTTTGTGTTAGGAAGGTTTTGGGGATATGGATTGGTAGGGTTTGTAGGAGGTACAGGATTCGGGGGAGGATATTCATTTTGAGGACACTGATCCTTCCCAGCCACGTAATGTGCGGGAGCTGCCACGAGTCGAGGTCCTTCTGTATTCGTTCGAGGAGGGGTGGGAAGTTGATGCGGTAGGTGTCTGACACATCAGCCGATAACCAGATCCCTAAGTATTTAATTTTTTCTTTGCACCAGTGAAAAGGGAACTCTGTTTGCAGTGCCGTTGCCAGTGCTAGGGGGCAGTTTACGTTGAGAATTTCAGATTTCGTAAAGTTAATTTTCAAGTTGGAGAGGGTGCCGTATAGGTCGAATTGGTGCGTGAGTTCCCTAAGGGAGTTTGCCGGGTTGGTGATTGTGAAGAGGAGGTCGTCCGCGTATGCGGAGACCTTGGTGGCTCCCCAGCTGCCCTTGATTCCAGTTATGCGGGGTTGGGCTCGAACTGCATTGAGGAACGGTTCCAGGCTGATGGCAAAGAGTAGGGGCGATAGGGGGCACCCTTGTCTAGTGCCGTTTCTGATCTTAAATGGGTCTGAGAGAATCCCATTAACCTGCACTCGGGCTGCTGGAGCGGTATATAGGGCCAAGATGCGCGCCATCATGTGGGGTCCCAGTCCCAGGTGTTCCAGGGTGGACCTGAGGAAAGACCAATTGACCCTGTCAAACGCCTTCTCCGCGTTGGTCGAGACTAGCAGGGTGGGGGAGTGTCTCTCTCGGGCCGCGTGGAGAAGATTGAGTGTCTTGATAGTGTTGTCCCTGGCCTCTTGACCCTCCACAAAGCCCACCTGGTCAGGGTGGATGAGGCTCGGTAGCAGGGGTTGGAGGCGCAGGCACAGTATTTTGGCAAACAGTTTGAGGTCGGCGTTCAACAGGGAGATCGGTCTGTAACTGGCACATGAGGAGGGGTCTTTTCCCTCTTTCGGGATTACCACGACGTGTGCTAGGAGCATGTTGGGGTCCAATGGGCCTCCGCAGTGTATTGAGTTGAATAGTGTAAGTAGGTGTGGGACGAGGTTATCTGCGAACATTTTGTAGTACTTTGCCGTGTATCCATCTGGTCCGGGGCTTTTCCCAAGTTTGGCCAGTTTGATGACTAGGCGTATCTCCGCTTCAGTGATATCTTCTTCTAGTGTAGATATATCTTGGGGTGTCAGTGTTGTAGTGATATTCTGTTCGATATATGTTTTTTGCCGTGCTGTGTAAGCCTCCTCTCCTTCGTGTGTGCGTGTAGTGTTGGGAGGTAGGCAGTATAGAGAGGAGTAGTATTGTCTGAAGCCCTCTGCTATCGCCTTCGGGGTCTTTAGTGTGTTTCCTGCCAGGGAGATCCTTTGAACATGGTTTTTCTGTCTCCGGGCCCTCAGTGCGCTAGCGAGCAGTTTACCACTCTTGTTTCCGTATTCGTAGAACGTTTTTTGTGTGAGTTGGAACTGGAATTGTATTTTTGACGTTAGGCAGGAGTTGAGTTTCGCTCTGGTCTCTAGGAGTTGTTTGTAGGTTTCGTCTCGGAGGTCTTGTTTGTGAAGCATTTCTAGACGCGCCAGTTGGGCAGCGAGGCACGCTATTTCTTGTGTGCGTTGTTTTTTCAGGCGAGTGCCGTGTTTAATGAGGATCCCTCGGATAGCGCATTTATGTGCTTCCCAGATGGTCGTTGGTGCGCTGTCTGTTGTTTGATTGGTGAGGAAGAAGTGGTCTAGAGTATTTCTAATTTCTGTTTGGATCAGTGGGTCCTCTAAGAGTGATTCATTAAGTTTCCATGTCCATTGGGATCGGAAGGTTCTAGGGTTGTCGATGGTGAGTATTACTGGTGCGTGGTCCGACCAGGTCATGGTGGCGATGTGAGCTGAGCGCAATGTGTCTAGATCCCTGTGTTGGGTAAAGAAGTAGTCAATCCTCGAGTAGGATTTATGTGGCGCTGAGTAATAGGTGTACTCTTTCTCTGCGTGGTGTAGGATGCGCCAGCAGTCTACAAGTTGGTGAGTTGCCAAAAGGGTCCGTAGTCCTCTGAGGACGTGGTCCGGGATCGTGGAGCTCCCTTTAGATGTGTCCATCTTGGGGTCTAGAGGGGCGTTGAGGTCCCCTCCTATTATGATGGTTCCTGCACTGAATGCCTCCAGGTTTCTCAGGGCTGAGACTAGGAATGGTTTTTGGCCTTTGTTTGGGAGGTAAAGGTTCGCGAGTGTGACTTGAGCGTCATCTATATGTCCTTTGAGAAAGAGGTATCTACCTTCTTGGTCTTTCTCTTCTGCTTCCAGGCGGAACTGGGTGTCCGCCGAGAATAATATGGCCACTCCCTTGGATTTGGTGGAGGGGTTATGCCCATAGTAGCCGGTTGGGAAGTATTTGTCTGAGAATTTGGGGCCTTTGTTGCTAGAAAGTGTGTTTCTTGGAAGAAAGCTATTGATATCTTAAGTGCTCGAATTTCTCGCAGCGCTCTTGCTCGTTTTTGTGGGGAGTTCAGGCCCTTCGCGTTGATCGTGTAGAGGTTAATTCCTGTCCCCGCGCGCCCGGAGGCGTGGGGGGCGGGGGGAGGTGGGCCCATCGTATCCGGGTAGCGGGGTAGGGGGGTGTGGAGAGGGGGAGGATAGAGGGAAGAGGAGGGGGGGATGGAAGGGGAGGTTAGACGGGCTTGGGGGGGTAGCCCAAGTGGTGTGGTGTGTGGCGGTTTTGTCGAGTCGCAGAGGCGACTGTTGTGAGGGGTAATGTGCCACTGGTAGGTGGGTGTCTGGGGACCGTGTCCATCGTGGCCACTTCACAGTCTCTTGGGGCAGGTGGCGTCGATGGTTAGGTAGGTCACCTACTTTGGGGTGTCGTCTGGTGACGTATCACTTTCTGTCAGCTACGTCTCCTGCTGCCCAGTAGTGGTGGTGTCTGGCATCCAGAGTGGTAGCACCATTCTAGCGGGTCAGTTTACAATGAGGTGAGTGGCCATGATGGTTGCCCCGTAGCGCTATCCTGTTATCGTTCACTACGTAGTTGTGTCGGGAGTGTGCATAATAACATAAGAACAGTATTCGAGAGAACAACATAATAACAGCATATCAAAACATGGTTACACAGGTTATGTCCCCAGTATCAGGGAGAACATCAGAAACTTTTATGAACAGTTAGAGATAGTCTGAGCATGTTCGCGCAGCACAGGGGGCCCCTCATAAAAAAGAATGAGGTTTGCGCCCCGTGGTGCGCTTTCACCTTACATATTTCATATAGCAAGGTAGGAGGAGGGGAACTGAAGGTTAGGTGAGGGGGGGTTAACAGAAGGGGAAAGAGAGGAGAAAAAAAAAGGGGGGGTAGTTAGTGAATTCAGCAAACAAATATTGGTAGAAAACAATACATTTTGTTGGAACCAGTGAGTGTAGGTGCCGCCGTCGCCCCGTGGGAGCCCCTCGGGCACTCACAGGGGGCGAGGCAGAGTTGCTCTCAACTGTAATTCGGGTGTTCACAACTGTAATTCTGTTTGAGGAACACTAAGCTTTCATCCTGCGGTATTCAGTGGTTGGTGAGTGGTGTCCCCCCACCTTCTGGTGTGTTCGTGGTGTCTGGGGTGTGGTCTCTGGTGGGCGTCTCAGAGGTGTGTGTGATGTCGGGTTGCCTGTGTTGCAGGTATGGTCTGTGTGTAAGGCTGCGGTTTGGTTAGGTAGTGAGGGTGTCTGGGTTCATCTTGGATGTATTTGGGGAGTTCCCTTCTAGGCGTAGTGGGTGTGTGTGTGTGTGTATGTGTGTGTGGGTGGATGGTAGTGTACAGGTGTGTAAGGAATGTGAGCCCCAATGGTATACTTGCTCTTGCGATTCGTTCTACGGTGGTGGAAGCCTTGGCAAGCAGTCCAGGGTGATGCCGGGGTGTCAGTTCAAGGCATCATGCCAGCAGTCGTCTCCATAGGGGGTTTGGGGCGTGGCGGGTGGGGGTCTGTGTCTCGCATTGTAGGGCAAGGGAATCTTATGTGGAGCTGGCCAAGGTATGGGTGCGCTGGCGAGTCCTTTGGGGATGTCTCTGTTAAGGTGGCAGTGGTCTCGGTGGCGTTGAGCAAGTCATGGACTCGGGGGGCAATAGATGTTGGCTCAGTTAGCTGATGAAGCAAGGTGGTTCCAGGTCTTTGGGTCGGTAAGATGTGGGTGGATGTCCGTTCTTGGTGTTGTGAGTTGCAGTCCGCTTTCTCCCTTTGCTTTCCTGGTTGCAGGGTGAGAGAAAAAAAAACAAAAAAAAATCCACAGCGTGGTCATGACAGTGTTGCACAGTCGTGTTCAGGCTGGTGTTGCAGGGTGGGTGGCGGGAGGGGGGGTAGGCAGGTGGTGGTGTCTCCATCTCTCTATTCCTTGGGGTCAATTAGTCGGTGATGGGTGCGCGGGGCGTCTCTGTCGGGCCCCTGTTGGATGGTACGTTGTGTTGGTCTCCCTGTGAGGCATTCATTAAGCGGGCATGCAGTCCAGTCCAGAATAGGAGTGCGGGGGAGGTTTAGAGCCTCCTGGAAGGCCAGTACATCTTGCGGCGTTCGGATTACGGCTTCCGTGGTGCCCTGTCTGGCTGAGAGGGCAAAAGGGAACTGCCATCTGTAGCGGATTTGGGCTTCTTGCAGGGCGGTGGTGAGGGCTCTTCGGGCCTGCAGGGTGAGGTGGGATAGGTCATTGTAAAGCTCCATAGCCTGTCCCTCAATTCTCCGGGTTCTTTCTGTGCGTGCTTTTCTCATAATTTCTTCCTTTAGTTGGAAGTCTTGTATGTGGCAAATTAAGTCCCTGGGGGGAGCACCTGAGGGGGGCTTGGGTCTCAGTGCCTTCTGTGCCCTGTCCATGTAGATGCGGGCATCCCTGGGCCTGCCCAGTATGCGGTTAAAAATCGGGGTCAGCGTGGCCCTGGCGTCCTCTGGTGTGTCAGATTCTCTGCAGCCCCTTACCCTGATGTTATGTCTGCGGCTGCGGTTATCAAGATCCTCTATGTGGAGGCGCAGATCTTGTATGTGCCTGGAGTGAGCCTCTGTGGCTTGTAAAGCAGGGCAGTGTGGGTTGGGGCCCTGTGACCCTAGGGCCTGTACTCTTGTCTCGAGCGCTGTGAGTGAGGTCCCCAGGGCTGAGATCTCTGTGCGCAGGGTGGCTTTTACCTCATCTAGCAGTGACTGGAAGTCCTCCTTTTTCGGCAGGGATGTAAACAGTGTGTACCAGTCTGGTGTCTGTGGGGCCGGCCGGCCGCTTTCAGTGCACGGGTACTCCTCTGACAGCGTGGAGCTCGGGGAGGAGGGCGCCATATTGGAGGCCTCCTCCTGGGAGAGGAAGTCTCCTGGCGTGCGTAAGTAGCTGCGGATGGAGGGGTGCGAACTGTTCCCATGTGTTCTCGGCGTGGAAGGGGTCATCTGGGCTCTCTTGGTGTGACCCATGGGTTCCAGGTTGTGCTAGTGAGATGTGCTTGTTTGCAGCCTGGAGCGGAGCTCGGGAATTAGGCGGCCATTCCTGTTCGGCGCCAAGCCACGCCCCCGAGTTATGTATTTTTATGTGGTTTTTGTTATATGTTCAACTTTAGAATATTTCCTGTACCTGGAGATAATTAAGTTACTACAGCCACTTAATTCCGGGATAGAGGGGAGGGTTCAGAAAGATGCACTTTATTCTGTTTGGTTTATGTTCTCTGTATCACTGTGTTCATTCAGGTCCTGAGGGGTGTGCCCCTGGACTGAAAATGTGTATATAAGCAATGCCTTTCTGCTCAATAAACCAGACTTCTTACGCTCAACTCGCAGCCTCAACTCGTGTTGTTGGGAAATGCTGATCACTAGCTCTGTCTAGAGCTCCAGGAATACTCTACACTTCCAGGAATATTGATAGGTGCCGGAATGGAACGTTTCATTGCTCTCTAAGTTCGGGGACAAGGACATCCAGGCGGTCCAACCCTCAGCTAGCCTGGGGCAACCGTAACACCCATATATAGACATACACTCATGCGCCTATAAAAAACACTCACACAGACTCGCTACATCCACTATACAGGCACTACGGCTGCTATACACAGAACCAGTCCTATGAAGACTCCACTACACACACAAAATTTGGCCACCACAGACACAGGCAAATTAGCCTACCTACACAAACAACACTCAGTGACTAAACACTCACACAGACACAGCACTCTGTCTCCTCCACACATGCACAACACTCAGCCCACCCATTCACAAAACAGAGCATGCCCCAATCTGGGATCCTGGCTAGGGCTTTAGGCAATATTAATCCAGCTGTGGTTCAAATTAAGGGTTTATTCACTATTCATTCATTCAATGTAATGAATTAAAAAACAAGTAGAAAAATTAGAGGGTCACTCTAATCACCATAACAACTTATGGAGCACAGGCGGTAGTTTTGCTGATTGCTGCAGATAACTTGCTTTACAAAACTGTGAATCTGACTGTGTACAACCTGATAGCAGCCACAATACAGCTGCTGTCAGTTATAGCAACTATAATAAGATGCATAGACCATTGAAGAAATTTAATGCTCCAGCCTTGAGATTTTGAATTCAGTAAGAAATATAAATTTATACTATGTGCATTGTTATGTTGCATTTTTTTTTTTTATAACCCCCACTGAGGATCTTGTTTATTTCCTACTATAAGTATCACATTTCTTGATTTACCAGTTAATTTTCATTTTATTTAGCATATTGCCTGCAATCTACATTTTTTTGTTATTTTTCTGTTTTTTGGGGGCGGGGGGGCTTTTGTTGTTTGTTGGGTTGTTGTTTTTTTTTGCACACTTCACTTACTGGAACTTCAAGACACTTCCTCATAGCTCGATTAAGAAATGTGATGTAAACAGTGAGCATAAATCCTGTCTTACAGATGTGTAGTCTCAAGGGATTTCAGTAGTTTAAGCATCCTGAATCCTTCTGTACTCACACATATAGCAGTGATTGGCTAAGAGATCTGGGGCAGTTTCACCAAACACTCTCATCCTATCATATACATCCAAGGTGGATGACATTGGTTAGAATGCAGAAGTCTAAATTCCACATTCTGAGTGTGGCTGGACACTTGCCAGGGCAGATATTGATTTTTTTTTTTTTTCGAAATCCTCTTAAATGGCTTGACAAAGAATTATAGAATGGCTCTTAGAGATTATTAGAAACATAACTACACTAAGCTGTACTGATTATGTTGCTTATAGTGCCCCTTTAAGTTAAGAGTTAGTGAACAGCCACTGGAATGTGCTCAATACTCTTCCCTGAAACCTTGTGGTGTTAGCTGCCCCAAAATATGATCCTGGGCCCATAGTCATTTACCCTGTACTTGGACTCATGCCCTTGAAAATCAAGAAGAGATATCTTAGCTTTATCTCAGAAGACGGACGACTGAGAGCTACTTATGGTGCATCATCTGTCTTATATGTCTCATTGTTTTTTAGTTTAATAAGGAGCCATATGGTATGTCAGCCCTTGATTCACAGTACTGTCAACTGTACTAGCACCCTCTTTAAAATAACTGACCTTTTAGATTTTTTTAAAGGACACGGAGGCTCATGTTATGCTTTATCTCTTTCTTTATTCCTCAGCAGCAAAGAAAGGATACTCTAATTATACAAAGGAAAAAAGTTAACATGTACCCTAGAGGGTTAACCACACTATAACATCTTGTCCAATAGGAATGCTCCTTGTACTATAATGTCCCATGTGACCTTCAGCCAATCCTCTTTCTTTGCTGCTGCCTCCTCAGCTAAGTATCACTCCAACAGTCTCTGTATTAATTTTAGTAAAATCACTGCATTCGCCTAGTTTATTCAGTGTATCTGTTGGTATTTTGTACTGTTTTGTTTCCTACTGTTTGTTTTCTCTGGGAGCCCTACTGGCTCCCTCCTTCCCTCACCACATTTTCCTATTTCCTCTCTCCCCCCCCCCTCCAGCCTTCTGGTCGGGTTGTTTATTTCCCCACCTATTTCTTCTGCCTACACAGAACTTGTGACCTTCTTACTGCCAGGTACCGTTATTTCGGCGGCCTTGGTGGGTCGCGGCTTCATGTGTTTGGTAGACACTGCTCGTGCATGCGCACATCACAAGCGCATGTCGCAATGCGCATTGCGGCAGCCATCTTGCGATTGGCAGTTTTTACAGTGCTTTTGCCGCGACTAATATCGCTTGTTTGGGGGCGGGGTTAAGCCGCTTGGTTGGCTGCATTGCTGTTCAGCCTCACGGTGTTCCCCAGGAGCCATTCCTGAAGGAACACTAAGCGAGCCTGTTTTACTTTGGTCATTGTGCCTTGTAGCTTTCCTGCTATTCAGCTAAATACTGTCAGTGCCTATATATTCTTTTTCACTGCCACTATAGTGCTATTATCCAGCACTGTGGGTGTGAGCTCCCTACTCTATCCTTAGGATAAATTTCTCATTACTTTTTATCATATTTTCATTTACACTGTGTCATGCAGTACCAAACGAGTTGGACATTTCCGTCGTCAGTTCTTCCACTAGTCTCACTAAATCCTCTATGCCCCTGATAGTGGCCAGTCGACCCACACATGCCATGCTGGATGAAGCATCACAGGAGAAAATTTATTCAGAAGAGTTTCATTCCCTCCTGGATGCTACCATGGTGAAATCAGTGACACCAGCCACTGTTTGCGGGGTGGCAGATGCCAAAGTCACTCCAGAGGTGGAGGAAGAGGCCGAGACAGCAGCAGAAGAGGAAGCAGGAGGAGCCTGAGACCTTTCTTGGTTTTTGAGGTGCTTACTCCACTGCAGCTCGTGCTTTGCATGTAGATGCCTGGTCATGCAGGTTGTGCTCAGGTTTAGAACATTTATGCCTCGCTCTAGGCTCTGATTGCACAGCGTGCAAAATACTCGTGTCTTGTTGTCAGCACATTGTCTGAAGAACTGCCACGCCAGGGAACTCCTTGGAGCTGGCTTTGATGTGCTCGGTTCCTGGGTGCGGTGGGCAGTAGCAGGCATACTGTCTAGGGGATGGCCACCCCGCTTTTGCATCCTGCTCCCTCTTATGCTGTGCTGGTGCCTCTGTACGACCACCATCTCATCTTCCAAACTGCACACGTCACTTGCATGACCTTCATTTCATGTGGGGTCTAGGACCTCATCATCCTCCACATCATCTTCCACCCACTCCTCAACCCTGCCCTCCTTGCCGGTCTGCACACTGCAGAAAGCCACAGCAGTTGGCACCTGTGCTTTTCCAGCATGAATAACTTACTGAAATGGCAAACACTATAATTGGTACAGCCTGTAGATTATTGATAAAGATTATGGTCCCAGGTGTGTCCTGGAGCCCTCCCAGTGTAAGTAGTCAGCTTGCGATTTGACAACTTGCCTGGGTTCCACTGGGTGTTGGTAGCACCTTCCTGTGCTGGCAGGTCCTGAACAGGAGCCTCAGGCACCTGGGGGCCTGCTGGTAACTTCCTCCCATGGAAAGTTGTCAAGCTGGAGTGGTAATGCTGCGTGGAGTGTTAAAGATTCAAAGTGCAAGTAATCTAAATTGTATCTCCAAATATTTCATATACAGTATAATTGTAGCGGAGACCTGGTATTCAACAAGTTATGTCCGCTTAAGATCCCAGTGAGGCTCAGAAACAAGTATTATAAATCCATATGGCAAGGTTTCCAGCAGGTTAAATAATATAGCAATATCCCAACAGCACTCCCAATGACTGGACGACACACAGCATCAGGAGCAGAACTAAACTTTTAAGTGGCCTTATAAAGCATGCTCCCATGCAAGGGAGGGATTTACAGTAATTACTACAGTGCCCAATCATACTCGAGTAACATCTCCTCCCCTTAGCCTGACTCATAATCCCCTTATACAGTACACAAATTCCCCCAGTTTCTGGATGTACCCCTAAACTTAGGGGTACCCCTTTAAATGTCACATCCCCTGGTAGCCCTGATCTTGGTGAGGAACATATCCAAAAATCACCCAGATCGGACCAGGGGTTCTGGAAATCTGTGGAGTTAATGAAAATACCGACCACGCTGGGGAGAACAGCCGAAATTGGTTCCATGAGATGGGGCCCTGCGGTCGGTCACAGTATAAGGGAACAAACTGCATGAAATGCTAGTGTTACAGAGATCAGGGAGAGTTCGCATGAATCCCCTCGTTCGGTTGTTTCTTTCTACCGAACGGGGGGGCGTTCGGTAGTTTGGAAGCGAATACAAGGTTAGTGTGGAGGTCTCAGCAGTGTTCGTCTAGCCGAGTGTCCGATTTGGGTTCCAGACACTCGACGGCAAAACACCACTGTTCGGTCATTTCCCGAATGGC